CAGCAGAATTTTTTTTGTAGCCTTGGCCAGATCTGTGCCTTGCCACAATTCTGTCTCTGAGCTCTTCAGGCAGTTCCTTTGACTTCATGATTCTCATTTGCTCTGACATGCACTGTGAGCTGTAAGGTCTTATATAGACAGGTGTGTGGCTTTCCTAATCAAGTCCAATCAGTATAATCAAACACAGCTGGACTCAAATGAAGGTGTAGAACCATCTCAAGGATGATCAGAAGAAATGGACAGCACCTGAGTTAAATATATGAGTGTCACAGCAAAGGGTCTGAATACTTAGGACCATGTGATATTTCAGTTTTTCTTTTTTAATAAATCTGCAAAAATGTCAACAATTCTGTGTTTTTCTGTCAATATGGGGTGCTGTGTGTACATTAATGAGGAAAAAAAATGAACTTAAATGATTTTAGCAAATGGCTGCAATATAACAAAGAGTGAAAAATTTAAGGGGGTCTGAATACTTTCCGTACCCACTGTATATATCTGCGTTTGGAATAATAAAAAAGACTTTAATGAGATTTCTATTATTTACACCCGGGCTGTTAAACTCATTTCAGGTCGAGCTCCAGATTGGACACAACGTCAAATTACGCTGGACGTTTTTTTATTTGTATTTGTTTAACCGTGGTCTCCTCTGTAGATAATGAAGTCCAGAATAATCAATGCTGCTTTAATAATTAATATTAGTGTAAAACAAACACATTTCCTTCACTAGAGACCTTTAGATCACATATAGGACTGACCTTAATACTCTGATGAATTAAATGTGTTGGTTTAAGCCACTATTAATAAGAGAAGAAAAATTGGTTTCGCTTGGTAACTTCAGTCATTTTAATGAGCAAAGAAGCAAAACTAGAGAAAGGGAATTCAGCTTTTGAAAGTCTGGTTTAGCAGCTTCATTCTTAGTGTTTTAACCCTGTAAAGAGTTTGTTTCTTCATCAGGTTTGTAGAAATGTATCACTGCATCAGTGTCTCACTGCAAGTGAATGGGTGCCGTCAGAATGAGAGTCCAAACAGCTGATAAAAACATCACAAGTAATCCACAGCACTCCAGTCCATCAGTGAACATCTGGAGAAGACAAAAGCTGAAACTAATCCAGCATTAAGACGTTTTTAACTCAAATACCATAGAGTCTATAATCCATAATAACTCTTCCTCCAGTGAAAAAGTGCATCTGCTGTTGTCTCTCGCATCAAAATCCAGCCACATATGTGTTTAGAGCTGTTTAAACGCTGCTTGATCTGTGCAGATTTCTCTCCTGATTCACACCAGAACACTGACTCACTGGAGGAAGAGTTATTATGGATTATGGACTTGTATTTTAGTTAAAAGCGTCTTAATGCTGGATGTGTTTCAGCTTTTGTCTTCTCCAGATGTTCACTGATGGACTGGAGTGCTGTGGATTATTGTGATGTTTTTATCAGCTGTTTGGACTCTCATTCTGACGGCACCCATTCACTTGCAGTGAGACACTGATGCAATGCTACATTTCTCCAAACCTGATGAAGAAACAAACTCATCCTGCTCTCGGCTGATCCTGAGGGTGAGCACATGTACAGTAACTGTCCCTTTAATGTGTCTGACAGAAACGGTGTTGTCTGTAGAGCCGTGTTTGCTGCGGCTCTTTTATTTAGCAAACAACGCTGCCGCATCCCTGCATGTGTAATTGTCAAGTTATTTAGGGATTCTTCTCAGCCTCAATGTCTGCCCAAACTTGGAAAAGGCTTTTATCAACTTCAGAGGGTGCATGGAGTAACTCAAAACATCTGATTCTTCATCGAAGCAATTTATTGAAAATCTTTCAGCAACAACTTCATCTTCCTTTGCTTATTCTCAGAGTTTAATTCAGATGCTTAGCTCAATAACCTATACAGAGAAAATATATAAATATGTCACTACACACAGTAATGCGGTCACTTAAGGATGCTTAACTCATTTAAACTACAACCAATGCTACTAGAATACTCACAAATCAAAGTACAGTACATAGCGGTTCAACAGCAACACTAAATCAAAAGCATTTACTGCACATGGCCAGTTAGCATATTAGATGCTAAACCCACTAGCATTAACAAACAACTTGCAAGACATTCACAATTGGTCTTTTAAACAGTCTGTAGTCACTAAAGAAATTAGTTTTTATCCTAACAGTAGCATCTCAAAGTTGATGAACACATTGTGGCTTTCCCCAGCTGTCTTTGAACAAACTCAGCATGTGGTTTACTCCAAACTTGATGGCTACATCCGTGCATGCTTTAGCAATCTTTCTCCTTTGGTTTTAGAACCAGCATCAACACCAACTTGGGTAGGAGAAGCACATTCACTTTGCCAACAGAGATCCTTCTGCACACTGATAATCAAACAATCACACCTGGTTCTGTTTAACATGTGAAGTTTCAATGGCCAATCAGCTTCCTTGTTCCTTGTGTTCCTTGTGCCCACAACCAATAGTATCCATTCATTTTGATCTCAAATCAAAACTCATTTCATCTGATAGATTTATTTTCTTCATTTAACAATGATAAATATAATTTTTTTTCTTACAATTTCAAGTTTAGCTGAACAGTAAGTGAGCTGCTTGATATGGTCGCTGTGTCAACCAAAGTCGATCACCCGACCACTGTTAAGAGATTTATAAGGACCACATCATGTGTGTGTGTGTGTGTGTGGTGTGGTGTGGTGTGGTGTGGTGTGTGTGTGTGTGTGTGTGTGTGTGTGTGTGTGTGTGTGTGTGTGTGTGTGTGTGGTGGTCTTAAGACACGAAACGATCGGTCTGTGCAAGAAACTGAACAGTATTTATAGCGTTTTTTACCTCTGATTCACCGCAATGTCCAACTGTCCTGAGTGCTTTCTCAACAGCCGGCGCGTGACGCGTGTACGTGCTCTGGCATAGTAGACATAGATATATACAGTATATATATATATATATAAGTAGATTCCTCATTAGTGACTGTTTCTATGGGCCGCGGAATCTACTTGTATATATCTATGTCTACTATGCCAGAGAACGTACACACATCACACACAAATTAATTTAGCACTTTTCTCTCAATTTAAGCAAAAACTTTTATGAAATTAAAAATTATGAAAAAAAAATAATCATAAAACAAGACTATATTTTAAGTCATTTTCTATCTTGATTTAAGAATGTTTAGATATTTGTTACTAGAAATCAGGACAAAAATACTTGAAAAAAAATATTATTTATTTATTTAGCAGGGTGAGTGACATTTTAAGGGGTTTCACATCATGCAAAATCATGTTTCTCTTTTGAATTAAGAGATTGTTGTACTTTATTGTATTTCGAATGTTGCACTCTATTCCATAAAGAGCAGGTGAGACGCTTCATTTCATTCAGTCGAGGTCAAACACAGTCATACAGAGATGATAATGGGACGCTTTAGTGTTCAGTGACTAATGTGCTTCACAGGACGTGCTGACTCTGTGTGTGTGTGTGTGTGTGTGTGTGCGTGCGTGCGCGTGTGTCTCTGTGTGTGTGGGTCTCTGTGTGTGTGTGTGTGTCTCTGTCTGTGTGTGTGTGTGTGTGTGTGACCTGCAGCTGCAGCACCTGAGCAGTCTGGACCTGCGGCACATCTCTGAGCTCAACAACGAGACTGTGATGGAGGTGGTGAGAAAGTGCAGGAAACTGACGTCCCTCAACCTCTGCCTCAACTGGACCATCAACGACAGGTACACACACACACACACGTTTGTTTTTGTGAATTGTGGGGACTCTCCATAGGGGTAATGGTTTTTATACTGTACAGACCGTATATTCTATTGCCCTACACCAACCCTACCCCTAAACCTACCCCTCACAGGAGACTTTGTGCTATTTCAGATTTTCAATACACTCCATTCGGTGTGATTTATAAGCTTGTTTCCTCATGGGGACCAGAAACATGTAATTTGGTCCCCATAACGTGATGAATACCAGGTACACACACACACACACACACACACAGAGAGACACACACACACA